GAAAATGTACCCAATAAACTGCCAATGAACTTCCCTTTCTCTGCATACCCCAGGGGGGCCTCATGGGCCCTCAGTTCCCCATTCATAGTGGGGAGGGCAGTAGACTCAGTAGTTTTCAAACTGGGTTCCACAGAATCCTGGGATGACAAGGAGCTGCTTCCTAGGGCCACCACCGAGGGTGTGGGAGGTGCTGAGCGGGGCTGGGAGGTGGAGGTGGGGTGGAGGGAAAGGGTGAGAGAAAATCCACTGATTTCGTTTTTCTTCTTGGCTGGCAGAATCCCCCTGCCCCTCAGCCCCCAGTCCGACTGGTCACCCCCAGACTGTGCCATGCGCAACGCCGCCCTGGGCACCCCCTGGATCCTTCCAGCTGGAGCCCCTGCCCCCTCCCCCACCCTCCTCCTGCGGGGCCACCCCCCCCCCCAACGCAACAAGCAAAACCTCCAAGAACTCCCGGGAAAAGGTGCATGGGGCAGGGCGGGTGTTTTTGAAGCCTCTCATGCTCCCAGATGTCCTTATGCTTTCTTATGGCATCCTGTGCTTAGTTTTATAGATGCAATTTCTTAGCTCTGGGAAGATACTGAAGTTTTATTCTGCTCTCTGTAGTAGTGTCTCTGTTTGCTTTAAATGCCTCCATCTGTTCATTTGGTTTTTCTGCTGCGTGTTCGTCATATTTGAGGCTTTTCTCCTTCCAAGGGTCTGTTGGTGATCCTTGGCTATCTGTCCCTATGTAAGAGTAAGGCACTAAAAAGCCCATGGTGGGGAAGTGGGGGGCTCACTGGAAACTCTCGGGGTGGGGACAGGGCTTGTCAACTAGCGACTTCTCATAGGCCGATTGGGCGGAACGTGGTCATTTCCCTGGCGGACTCCATAACATCAGTCAGGATCTGCTCTGGGATCTGGGTTCAGCCAGGCACTGAGCCTGGGGGTAACGCGTGGGTGAGCCCACAGTGCAGGGTTTAGCCCTCCTCTCAGACCCATTTTCAGCCGTCCACAGGCTAGGACTCCAGAGCTGTGCCTGCGAGACAAACGCGCATATGAACTGCCCGGGGATCTGGCTAACAGGCAGGCTCTTGCTCTGCAGGCCAGAGCCGAATCTCAAAGGTTCTACCTCTCTGGGGGAAGAGAGCCCAGCTAACCAGCTCAGTGTGGCTTCTGTAGTCTATGAAGGGATTTATGGGGCTTGTGGAGGGGCCAGACAGTGAAAAAGACATCCTTGCAAGTCAGAACTGGCCAGGGAGCAGACCTTTACAAGACTGAAGTCTTTAGAAGACTAAAGACCTTCTAAGCCCTTGGCAGGGAGGAGATTTGGAAAGGAAAAATTGAGAATGGTTGTGAGTTAACTGGGCAAATAACTCCCACAAGATGGGACAGAATTCTGGCTGGCGGGGGCTGGGCTGGGGTGGTCCTTCAGGACAGGACAAGCTGTAGTTGCATTTGAACTTGAATTGGAGGCAGGTGCTAGAACTTACACGAAAGCAGCTTGCCCAGCAGGGAAGAGGTCAGGCCTGCCCAGTTGCCTCCTGAGCCCCCTCCCTGTGTCCCTGTCCCAGCCAACCCAGTGGCTCCAGGACTCTTTCCCTGCCCCTCTCTCACAGCCCTGCCACGTACTCCCTCCCGATGTGGTGCTGGTTCCTGCCACCCCCTGGACATAACTGACCCACCTCAGTGTCCCCACGGTACCTGGTCTCTGGTGTGTGTCTGTGTTTAGACAGTGTAGGGGAGGCAGGAGCAGATCCAGAGCACAAACCTTGGGATCAGACAGGTTAAGATTCCAAATCCTATGTAGGAAGCTAACTCATGGCTTCCCCAAGATGTCCACATGCTAATCCCCGGAACCTGGGAATATGTTGGTCTACGTGGCAAAAGAACTTTGCAGAAGGGATTGAGTTAAGGATCTCGAGGTGGGGAGATTGTCCTGGATTACCCTGTGGGCCAGTGTCATCATAAAGGTCCTTAGGAGAGGGAGGCAGGAGAGTCAGAGAGAGAGGAGGGTGTGAAGATGGAGGCGGAGATCGGAGAGAGAGAAGATGCCGCACTGCTGATCTGATGGTGGAGGAAGACGAGCCGGGAATGCAGGCAGTCTGCAGACTCTGGAAAAAGCAAGGAAACGAATTCTCCCCAGAGCCTCCCGAAGGCACCCAGCATGGCCAGCACTTTGACTGTAGCCCACTAACACCAACTTTAGACTTCTGGCTGCTAGAACTATAAAAAAAAAAAAAAATGAATGTATGTTATTGTAAAGCCACTAAATTTGCAGAAATGTGGTACAGCAGCAATAGGAAACTATTCTATCCTTGCTTTGCCATATATTAGCACTGACACCTTGGCAACTTACCTAACCTCTCTGAGCCTCAGTTCCTTCATCTGTGAAATAGGGATAGTATATGTGAGAAAATACTTATAACGTACTTAGCATGGTAACTGGCACACGGTAAGCACTTGATAAATGGTAGCTATTGAGTTTGTGGTCATTGCCATCATCATCATCATTATTGGTGGTCTATCCTCAAATGTAACAACAGACTGGACCTTTTCCTTCTCGTCCAGACCTTCTTGAGGCCTGGTTGTACCTCCTGAGCCAAAATATCAACAGGCAGAAAGAACAGGGAGCAGAGTCCTTCCTCAGCAGGGCCTCTGACCCTGGGAGTGTCCCCAGGACTATTGCTCACCTCCTGGGCAGCCATCGGCAATTTGGAGGTAAAAGACTCAAGTTTGAGACTCAGCTCCTCCACTTCCCGTGAGATTCGGGGCAAGTCACTTAACCTCTCTGAGCCTCCATTTCCTATCAGCAGAATGGAGACGAAACGACTTGCCTGTTTGTATTGATTAAGTGAGCAAACGTGTGAAAGCACGGTGCCTGGCACTCAGCAGCGTCTCCTTAGAGCAGGCGTCCTCACACTACAGCCCGCGGGCCACACGTGCGTGTTTTTGCCCATTTGTTTTTTCACTTCAAAGTAAGATATGGGCAGTGTGCATAGAAATTGTTCATAGTTTTTTTAAAACTATAGTCCGGCCCTCCAACGGTCTGAGGGACAGTGAACTGACCCCCTGTTTAAAAAGTTTGAGGACCCCTGTCTTAGAGGTTAGCCCCCTTCCCTTCCTGGCTCATGGCAGGGGGGAATTATTATCCTCCGACATATTCACTGAGGGGCGTAAACTCTTTAACCCTGCACGTCCCTCCCCAAGCCCCTGGGACCGTGGCAAGCTGGAGATTTATGTGGGGGCTCATATGTAGTTTGAGGACTCTCAAGAGCTGGACTTTGGCTTGGGCCCAAAGACTGAGGGGCCAGTGGAAGCCACGAGTCACATTCCAGCTCTCGGTCAGTCTCAACCATGACACCCACGGGTCTCTTCCTCCCACTGGCTCCTGGCACTGCCTGTGCCGCCCTTTTGGCACCAGCAACATCTGCCTTGTGACCACTTTCATCTGGGGTTTCTATCTGTAACTCTTAGTACATGGAGCTTGTTTTGTTTACAGGTCTTGTGTTGGAAGCTCTTTGAGTCCCCTTTCCTTACAATGTGGGCTGCAAAAATCAGAGAAACAAGGGACATCCGAGCCATCACTTGACAGAGGGGGTTAATAAGACTTCACAGATGTGGGGGGCCTACAGCCCAGACTTCCAAAGCCACAGGCACTGCGGCTCACGCTGACTTCTCCTCCCACCACCCCCCGAGTTAGTACCTGCAAGGAAGGACAAGCTTCTGGAAGACGCTTGTTCTTGAGTTAAGCTATGAACAGCTGTTCCCTGTAATAGAACCACAGGCTGGAAAGGCTCTTAGAGATGATCTCCAAACTGGGCCATTTTACAGAGAGGGAAGCCAAGGTCCAGGGAGGGGAGGGGACTTTCTGAGGTTGTGTGGCAAGTGAGTGGCAAAGGGAATCCTGGTCTTCTGATTCCCACCCCACGTTGTGAATCTGTAGCTCGCTCCTCCGCCCAGCCAGCAGCCCCTGTGCCCCGCAGTCCCATCAGGACTGTGTGCCTCCTTGCGGGGGTCTCGCTGTTGCCTCTGTCTCTGCTCTCCATGGAGATGAAGAGGAAGGTCAGACCCTCCAGAGATCCTGGTGACTCCTGTTCAGATGCCCTGGTGACACTGTGCTTCACGGTCTGGCTCCCTGACCTCCCTGTTCATACCTGAGTTTAACCAAGTGCGGCCAGCACTTGACCAGACGGAGGACAGGGAACCGGAGCTCCAGGAAGAGCAGGGAGAACACAGGCTGGAGACAGAGGGGGAGGAGAGGAGGGGCTAGAAATGAGCAGGAACTGATCACCCGCCACACACCAGGGCTCCGCAGGGCAATTATGGTGTCTCATTGACTCCCACAACCCCACGAGACGGGGGTGTTAGCCCTGTTCTATGAATGAAAACACTGAGGCCTCCAGAAGTGGCTCAAGCTGTCAGGCCACTCAGAGGTGAAGTTGAAGTTCAAAGGCAGGTCTGCCTGACCCCAAAGGCCTTGCTGGGGCACGAGCTCCTGGACATGTGCCGTCACAACACTGTCAAGAGTTCTCAACAGCCACCCAGAAGAACCGAAAATTCCCCCCCGAAAGCCAAAAAATAAACAAGGCAAAGCCAAACCGGAACAAAGCAAAAGCCCGGGCCTAAATTCAAAAAGTCATTTGCACAAGAGCAGAATGACGTCGTTACTGGCCAGCAGCTCATCATAACATTGTCACCACTCAGTGCTGCCCCCGCTGCGTTAGATTTCCATAGTACTTTGCAGTTTATAAAACCCCTCACTTGCTGGTCCTAGGGCTTTGATTGACCATAAACAAGCATAAGAGTAAGTCTGAAGGCGGGGTGTCTATCACTAGGGTGTGTATAAGCCATGTGCTTGGCTGCCTGTGAGGCTAATGAGCTATTTGTTTGCATTCGTCCATTGTCGTATCAGTAGATTTTGTGCAGAGCCACTGTGCTGAATGCATTGCATTTAATTCCATCTCACTTAATGCTCACAACCACCCTATGGAGTTGTGACTATTACAATTCCTATTTTACAGATCAGAAAGCCAGGCGGTGAAGAAAGTTGGCCAAGGCCACGCAGCGAGTAAGTAGTAGAATTCAGCCTCCTCCTGATCCGTATCAAGAAAGCTGTCATTCTGAACATTTCAGGCTCCTCTGCAGTCACCTGTCCAGTTTTGGGTTCTGTTCTTAAAGGCAAACAATGACACAGAGGAGAGACCCAGGAGGGACACCGTCACCCTAAAGCTTGTTTGAAGGGGCTAAGGATATTTACCCTGGAGAAGTAAATTGTCAGAGAACATACAATTGCTCTTTTCAAGGTCAGAAAGCTCCTCTGTATGGAAACAGGTTGGATTCCACCATTTACCAACCTACAGCCAACTGATGCCGCCCCCTATCGGTGGGAGGTAAAATAGATGCACTGATCCCAGCTGCCCTAACTGTTCCTTCCCTGAAGTTGAGTTTAATCTTTCACACATGAACGTACCTTTAATGCTGACAGGTTGTCATGCAGAAAAGTAGCAGATTTACCTTTGTGGGAAGGGAATTTGGACCAATGAGTAATAGTTACAAGGCACCAACAAGAAGGTCAATTTTCTGATAATTAAAACATCCCAGGCCGGGCGCAGTGGCTCACGCCTGTAATCCTAGCACTCTGGGAGGCCAAGGCGGGCAGATTGCTCGAAGTCAGGAGTTCGAAACCAGCCGTGAGCAAGGAGCAAAGACCCCATCTCTACTATAAATAGAAAGAAATTAATTGGCCAACAATATAATATATAGAAAAAAAAATTAGCTGGGCAGGTCCATGCCTGTAGTCCCAGCTACTCAGGAGGCTGAGGCAGCAGATGCTTGAGCCAGGAGTTGAGGTTGCTGTGAGCTAGGCTGATGCCATGGCACTCACTCTAGCCTGGGCAACAAAGCGAGACTCTGTCTAAAAAAAGCCAAAAAAACAAACAAACAAAAACCATCTTGGCCAAGCACGGTGGCTCACGCCTATAATCCTAGCACTCTGGGAGGCCGAGGCAGGAGGATTGCTCAAGGTCAAGGAGTCGAACCAGCCTGAGCAAGAGCGACACCCCATCTCTACTAAAAATAGAAAGAAATTAATTGGCCGACTAATATATAGAGAAAAAATTAACAGGGCCTGGTGGCGCATGCCTGTAGTCCCAGCTACTCGGGAGGCTGAGGCAGGAGAATTGCCTAAGCCCAGGAGTTTGAGGTTGCTGTGAGCTAGGCTGATGCCACAGCACTCACTGTAGCCCAGGCAACAGAGTGAGACTCGGGTCACCAAAACCAAAAACAAAACAACATCGCAGTAACTCAAGGGGCTGCTTGGGAGTAGTGAGGTGCTTGTCTGTGGAGGAGATCAAGTCATGCTGCATCTCCCATCTGTCAGGTGATTGGGAGACATCATTCCCAATGTTTTGGTGGGTCGAGGGCTTTTGTGGGTTACCTACTCTGCATGACAGTTGGTCCTTTGAGGAGGGTCTGCCAGGGCTGGTCATGTCTTTGTTGTCTCATCCAGGGAGGAACTTGGAACGCAGAAGGAAAGGGGGCAGCTCTGGGGCAGAGCAGTAGAGGAGATATTTTGCACAGGTGGTGGTCGGGCCGCATTTATCTTTCAGACTCAGCTCTTACACTTGACCAAGAGCTAGTCAGAGAGGGTGTGTCACTACCCCCTGTCTTTTCCCAACTGACTTCCCACACAGGCCATCGCAAATAACGTGAGGGAACAACAATTCTTTGTAAATTCTATAAATGTGACTGAGGCTTGGCTGCAGACAGAGGTTCAGTGTGTGGCAAAGCGCAGGGACTAGTCAGGTAGAAGTTAGGGTTCGGGCTCAGGGCAAGTGCCCTGGCTCTGTCTGCTGAACCCCCAGCCCCAGTGGGTTTTCTCATCAAAGCCCCGCTTTGATCTGGGCCCCCAATGCTGGGCCACCTGTACATTGTGCGTTCACTGGGAGGCAATCTGGTGAGTGAGGGTTTTGGAATAGGGGCTGTGAAGTTGGGCAGGCCCTGGCTTGAATCCTAGCATGGCCTTCATATTAGCCTTGTGAATTTAGGTTGGTTTCTTCTCTGCTTTGAGCCTCAGTTTCCTCATCTGTAGAATTGACACAGGGATTGTGCCCTCCTTACTGGAGAGGTATAAGGATTAAATGAGATCTCGAATGTAAAGCACCAAGTACAGTGCCTGACACATAATTTATTATTATTATTATTATTATTATTAAGTTAACCTCTGACAGTGAAAACCGGCCTCACCCTCCCTATATTGTCCATATTTTCCATGGCCAGGGGCCCTGGTCATAGGCATATTGGGTACTAAAATCTCCTACTGGACCTCACTTGGTTAACAACGATTGCTAGGGCTCCACAGATGAAAACACCCACATCCTTGGCCACCGATGTTCCACCACCCTCCCTCCCACCTTCTCTGATGTAACGGGAACAGAGATGTAATTGAGAGTTCTGAGATTACTCACTGTTCTTTCAGAAAGAAGAGTAACTGGGCCCATCCACAAGGCAGTCTGCACCTGGAACTCGGTACCCAGGAGATCACCTCTGAAGAGGTGCAGAGGTGCTCCACCTGCGGAGGAGCCTGTGACCTGGTGGCCTTAGGTGGCGGCATCACTGGTCAGTATGTGTGTGTGTGTGTGTGTGGGCACGTGTGCATGCATATTCTTGCAGTGACTGTCTTGGACCCCAGGGTGCGTATCGGGGCAGGGCGGTGCAGTGGGACATACAGGCTTTGCACCTTGCAAGGCCTGGTTCAAACACCAGCTCTGCAGCTTCCGGGCTACGTGAGCACAGAGAGTTAGCTTTATGTTGCCAAGTCTTGGGGTCCTCATTTGAAACATGGGGAAAGGAAAACCTGTCTTACATGGCATTTTGCTGATTAAATTAGGGCGTGGATAGAAAATAACTGACCCAAGGTCTTGGCACATGGCAGTCACTCAGGTGGTGGCCTCTGTCATTTTTGTGCATGCTGCTTTAATGGCAAATGTGTCCATGGGTAGGGTTGGGGTTATCCAGTCATTGTGCCACTGTCTCTCTCACTAAGTGACCCTTGATCAGTGGCCACTTATTTGTATCTCTTTTCTATTTTTAAAAAGAATTGTAAGAAAGCCTCACGGGCAAGTCTCCTTAGCTTGATATTGGTGGGGACAGGAGCAAAGGTTCGGGCATATGCACACCAAGGCGCTGCTCATGTGGGGTCCCTGTGCTGGGACGGACAGTGGTCTGTAGGGGGCGGTCTCTCCTTGAGAGCAGAGGTGGGGAGTGTGGGGGTGGGGAAGACTTTCATTCCACATTCTTATATTTGAACATATTTATTTCTAAAGAAAGAATTTTTCCTTGTTTTGAGCTCTATATCCCCCAGTGTGTAATTTAGTTCAGCAAATATTTACTAATCCTCACTATAATATTTAGAGCTACCATTTATGGAGCACTTGAAGGCACTTTCCACACCTTGCCTCTCACCCTCAGCTCCCTTGGAGAAAAGCTACTCATTTCACAGATGAGCAAATGAAGAGGGAGGGATGCGACTACTTGCTCCAGTCTTTCCACTGGCAAAGGTGTGAAGGCCCCGACACTTTACCTGGGGGAGGTAGAAGGCTATGAAGAAGAACAAGACCTCTGCCCCCAAGGACCTGACAATGAACCTGCAGCATTAACTGCCAGACCAAGCAGCAGACACACCTGCTGTGCTGGGGTGTCTTTGGGGACCCTGCTGGGGGAGGGTAGAGAACAGAGTTGCTAATTCCGTCTGGGGGCGGGGGAGTCTTCCGGAGGTGGTGACTGGGCTGAGTCTTAGAGGGTGTGTTCATTTTGGGGGAGAGCAGTGCAGCGTGGCTGGCCTGGGACTGTTTCAGGGGCTCAGGAGGCAGGAAGCCCAGGCAGGGAGACAGATCCGCAGGTGCCAGGAAGTCAGGCAGAGCCACACAGGGTTCCCGGCAGGAGCCTGAGTCACGGAAGTCCTAAGGATCTGGTCTTTGGGAGAGGGACAGACATGAGCTGGGGAGAGTTAGGCAGGGCCCCGGACTCAAAGGAGAGCAGAGAAGGTGAAGGCAGAGCCCCTGCTATGGATGGATGGGGCCAGGCCACAGAGGGCCATTCCGAGGCTGTGAGACCCCAGGAAAGGCCACAGCTACCAGAGCCCCCAGCCTGGGAGCAGATGGCCTGACCCCAGCGGATGTCTCAAGTGGGGTGCTGAGCCCTGTTTCCATCAGAGCTGGGAGAGCAGGGCAGCTGCAGCTCATAGACAGGGCCTCTCTGGAGAGGCCAACTGTGGGGACTGGGAAGAGCCAACCCAGGCACAGCAGGACCAGGTATGATGGGGGAGGGTGCAGCGTCACAGCAGTTTGGCTGAGTTTGGCGTGAGCAGATGAGAGGCTGGAGGCAGGGTGGGAACAGCCAGGGAAGTGCTTTCACTACCAGATACGAGCGTGGGCAGGGGGAGGTGACTGTGTTTTGGTTGCAAGAATGACGTGATCAAATCTATAATCTGTCACCCTCACTGGAATGTGAGCTTCCCAAGGCCAGCAGTCTGTCCCCTCCATTTCACCTGTGTAGTCCCAGCATGTAGCACAGCGTCGCTGCACAGGTGCTAGATTGATGTTTGCTTAATAGATATGAAGAACCACAATACACGCAGTGCCTATGGACATATACATATGTAGTAAACATTTTAAAACTTAGATGAGAATACACACTAACGGTCAAGGTAGTGGTTACTTTGGGGGAGGGAGGAATGGGATTGAGGCAGAACACAACAAGGACTGACACTGTATCCAAATTTTTTTTTTTTTATAAAAAGAGCTGAAGGGCCGGGCGTGGTGGCTCACGCCTGTAATCCTAGCACTCTGGGAGGCCGAGGCGGGCGGATTGCTCAAGGTCAGGAGTTTGAAACCAGCCTGAGCAAGAGCCAGACCCTGTCTCTACTATAAATAGAAAGAAATTAATTGGCCAACTAATATATATAGAAAAAATTATCCGGGCATGGTGGCGCATGCCTGTAGTCCCAGCTACTCAGGAGGCTGAGGCAGTAGGATCGCTTGAGCCCAGGAGTTTGAGGTTGCTGTGAGCTAGGCTGACGCCACGGCACTCACTCTAGCCTGGGCAACAAAGCGAGACTCTGTCTCCAAAAAAAAGAGCTGAAGGACATATGACTATAAACATTTGTTGCATCTGACTGGTAGGTACACAGATTCCTACTGTATTTGTATTCATAACACGTATTTCTTACTTAAAAAAATAAATGTATGCATAAATATTTTTTAAATGTATGCACTCTCTCTTCTCCAGTAGAGTCCTCGGCTGCGTGGAGGACTTGTGGCTTCTTAGGGTTACAGATAGGCCTAGATCATTCTCTCGATGCAGATCCTTCCTGGGTCTCCAACTTGTCAAAATGCCACTCTGAAATAATAAGGCAGAACCTGGTTTGTCTCCCTGCTTTTCTTGATCCATCACTTATAATATCATTGTGCTTACAGTATGATTCCTGGTGGAGGATCTCGACACCTCTTTCTGCTGGCATGACGCCACAGTAACCATGTACCTCCTGGCTCGCCCCTCAAGTGTAACAGCATAGGGTATGGGTTTTGATTCCTAGTGTATTGGGGGAAAGGACATGTTGTACACTCACAGAGTGTGCTTTGGCCCAGGCTCTAGCTCTACCTGGCTCTATGGCGTTGGTCACTCAGCCACTGAGTGCGGCGTGCTCAGCAGCAAGACATGCAAGGTAACTGCTTCCCGGGGACAGAAAGGATTAACCAAGATGATGAGGTGTGTGAAGGCTCCCAGCACGCGGTGCTCAACTTGCATTCTCTCCCGTCCCCTTGAGGGCTCTGTGCCCCCTGGCCTCTGTGCCCACTGCTCTCACCCCCAAACCGTGCCCATCCTTCCAGGCCTATTCCAATGTATCTCTTCCACGAAATGGTTCTTCGCAGCCCAGTGGTGCATGTCACCAACTGCTTAATAATCATAGCTAATTTTTTCATCTTTTTTTTGTTTGTTTCATTTGATGGATACAACTTTTGCAGGCAGAAACACCATTTCAGGCATTGTTTCGGGGTGGACAGAGGCCACTAGAACGGGAGGTAGACACCTGGGTTAAATTCTTCTAGCTATTCTTCTTGGGATTCCTCGTAGCTTTGGGGCCATCAGTTTCATCAGTAAAATGGCAACAATAACCACCCTTATCAGCCTTGTGGGAGATTGATTTAGACATTTCATGCGAAACACAGAGGCACTTGAATAAATATTGTTGAGTGAATGTAAACTGCTTTGAAAAACAAAGTTCCTTACAAATGTCAGGTATTATTTTTAAGTCGCCCATAGTCTCTAGTAATGGGCCTCATATGTACTGGCTGCCGAGGAAACTGCATGCTTGAATATTCTACAGCCATCCAGATGAAGACCGAAAGCGGCACTGTGCAGGAATAAATAATAAGGCTCACTCTGTTTTTAAACAAAATTTCTTCTTTGTTCTCACTAGGATCAAGATGACTACGGCCACCCCTTTGGGGGACACCACCTTCTTCTCACTGAACATGACCACCAGGGGCGAAGACTTTCTGTATAAGAGTAAGGTCACCTTGGCTTGGAGGCCGGGGAGGGGTGCAGGACAAGTGTCCAACGGTCAGCCCGCTCCCGGTGCAGGAGGTCAAGAGTGTGGGCTCTGGAGACAGATGGCCTGGGTCTCAGGCCAAGTTCTACCACTTGCCAACTGGGTGACCCTGGACACATGACTTCTCTGCTGGGTGCCTCTTTCCTTTTCTGTAGGTAGGATTCAATGAAGCTACTACTATAGTAGTCGTGAGGACTATAGGGATAATCCATATGGTGAGCTAAGAATGCCTCTGGTGCATACTAAGGTTTAAGCACATTATTATTATATATTGCTACTAACATCGTTACTGTTGTTTTCCATTAGGGAGTCTTGTGGTCTAGAGGGCGAATGGCAAATTTGAACCTTTGAAGGATGTCTAAATGGGCACCTATTTTTTTTTTTTAGACAGAGTGCTCAGCCTTTGTTGCCCAGGCTAGAGTGAGTGCCGTCGGCATCAGCGCAGAGCTCACAGCAAACTCAAACTCCTGGCCTGCAAGCACTCCTGCTGCCTCGGCCCGTCCAGTAGCTGGACTACCGGAAGGCATGCCCATCCATGCCCCCACGGCATAATTTTTCCTTATATATCATTAGCTTGGGCCAATTAATTTTCCTTCTATTTTATAGAGCAACGGGGTCTCGCTCCTTGCTCCAGGCTGGTTTTCAACTCCTGACGCTCGAGCAACTCGCCCGCCTGCCCTCGCCCAGAATGCTAGGATTAAGGCAGGCGTGAGCCATGCGGCCTGGCGAAGGCTCACCTTAAAATGAGTTGCTTCAGGCCAAGTGCGGAGCTCACACCCTGTAATCTCCAGCACTTTGGGAAGCTGAAGGGAGGGATTGTTGAGCCAGAATTTGAACCAGCCTTGGGAATATAAAAACAAAAAAAAACAAATTA